AATTTTACATAAGAATTTGTAAATTTGTAAATGTATTTATAGTAGACTTTACTACAACCTAAACATTTTCTCATAGCAAATTATATCGTGCCCGACCTCCTTAAATTGAAATAGATCAAAGAAATTACCTCAAGTTTCCAGTGTCTCATCTTGCTTAAACAAGTTTTGGAAAGATATTCCTAAATGTTTATATTTTATTAAAACATTTTAAAGAAATTTAAAAAAAATGCACTGTAAATGTCTTATAGGAAAAATTATTCTTGGACTTTTTGCCTATAGGTAGATAATTCTTTAACCATTTGATCAATAATTCTAATAATAATTATATTTAGTCAAAATGTAACTTTGTGGTAAATAATCTATTCTTGTGTATTTTAAATTGTTAAAAATTGGTGTAGGTATATCCTAAAGCCCCAAAAAGAATTTAAAACATTACAATTTTTTTATGTCAATGATGATTTACTCTCTAAAAATGAATTAGTCAAAAATGACTAATTAAATAGTTATTAGTGGCTGCTTTTTCACTTGTACCATCGTTTACCATGGTACCCTAAAATTTAACTGCCAATTCTTATGTAGAATTGTCTCCTGAATCCTAAAATACCGTCAAAAATTATGAAAGTGGAGCAGGTTTTGAGATAGAGTCAATTCCATGTTAAATTGAAAATTGACTATATCTCAAAAACTGTTCTTCTTTTTTAACTTTTGACGGTATTTTCAGATCCACTAATAACTATTAAACTAGTCATTTTTGACTAATTCATTTTTAGAGAGTAGACAAATTAAGATAAAATTTATATCTTGTAGGTAATGATAAACTTGGCATGAAAAACATAAAGTAATGACATTTTTACTCCACCTTGGGTTAGAACTTATTGTCAATAGTGTGATTTACTTGAGGTATTAAACAATTCACAGATAAGTTAAGATTAATTAATTTTCGATTGCGTCGATTGCAAAAAATGTTTATTAATTGTTTTAACGCCATTAAATCTTGTGTGGGAGCGCCTTAAAAACATAGAAAGGAAAAACAAACTTATTTATTGGACGACCCAATGGAATCTAAGGATTTCTTACTTTTTCTTATCCTTATACAATGTAGAAGGATTTTTTATATCTTTAGTTTAAAATCTAGTACTTCTAATTGAATTAAAGCTTATGGATTAATTTATTCTGAAACGTAATTTTTTTAATTACAAAATTATTAAAATATTGAGTCCCTTCTTTATTTTGTGCATTAACATAATTACCTAGTTTTTGCACCAGTCATTATTGGCTTATAGGAACTGGTATTTACAAAACTAGTATTTAAAATAATTTGTGGACAGTTAAATGCTAAAAAGTAAATTATACACTTTGCATTTCTAGAAATGCAAAACGTATAATTACGACAAGTACGTTCATTTATAATTTCCAGAATTGCCAGAAGCTAAGAAATACATCAATTTTTTAAATTAAAAAATGCATAAATTTCTTACTAAAATTACTAAAGTTTTGCTTTATTGTGTTTTACAGAAAAATTAATAAAAATCATCGTAAATTACAAACTGCAATTAGGTAAGTTTATTAAGGTTTTCCCATAAAATTCATGATTCATATTTTAAATGTTTCAAGAATAAAGGTTAGGCAATAGTTTATGGTATTATCATAAGGCTGAAAAATAGGCTTTCAGTTTTATTTTTTAGATTATTTTTGGGTTATTTAAATGGAAAATGGAAAAAATAAAATAGGCACCTCTAAATATCAATATTATATATTACATGTTCGACCGAATTCTATTATTTTAAAATCTTTACTAAAATTGTAATGCGCATTTAAAAAATGAATTTTTTTAAATTTTGAAATAAGGTATCTCATAATTATTGGAACATAATTAATGTAACACAGCAAAACCACAGATTCCTTATAATAACCAAGATAAAGGTCGTCAAAGGTCGAATTACTAAATGACATAAAAAGTAAATTGTGTTTGGGGTGTTTTTAGTTATAGAACACCCTGTATATATTTGTGGGTAAATGAATAAAAATTAAATTAGACATGGAAAATGTATTACCCATCAGAGCTGCCACATCAGAAAACCAAAATCCTTTAATCCATGCGTCAAAATCCAATTAAGCGTTAAAAACAAAACATGGGACACGGTTCAAATTAATTGAAATATAACACGATATTCCTACTGTGTTATCAACATTTATACTAATTTAATATTCAAAACATCATTAAGCGACTTTTCGACCGTATTAATTTTAAACTCGCATAAAACTCAAATATATAAATATGTATATTGACAACATGCTTAATAAAATATCGTGTTTAGTGTTTAATATTTTTACGTTAAATATTAATGAGCAAACTAAGTTTCGAATTGGTTTTGAGCGAGAGTGTGTGGTTTTAAAATAACGTGCACCTTTGTTGGTACGGAAATTGTGTGTATTTTTTAAATTTTATGACAGTTTATTACGCCAATACTGTTTAAATATTTGTTATTTTTTTTAATATGACAATAACGGTAAAAATTTAATTTACCTAATTGTGAGTGTTTAAATTTGTTTTTAATTAAGTGTTTTTATTTAAATTAAATTTTGCTTTATAAAATATATATTGTTGTAAATTCACGTATTAGTAACAAAAATAATTCATTTACCTTTTAAAATATGTGCTTAACATTTTTTCTTAAGAATTCACTTAGTATTAGTATAAGGGGCACCAAGTATCCTTCTAGGGTTTCAAAATTTTTGGAAAAATTGAGCCAGTGGAAAAAAACCGGTTTTTTTTTCGAAAAAAAACGAAAAAATTAGGAAAGGTTTAGAAAAATTCACTATGGCATTTTTTATTTTTTGTTAAGGTTTATACAAAAAAAAATGCAAAAGAATTTTTTTTGGAAAATTTACAAATTTTAGTAAACTGATATCGAGAAAAAAATTTCCGACGCTGATTATATTTTTATACCTAATATTATGATTATAATAATTATTCCTTTTATTTTAATTCGGAAAGAATATTCTTGAGGATAGCAACATTACTATCGGATAAGGATTTTTTTGTAAATTAAAATAATATTAAAAATATTTATTTTTTCCTAAAAAAGACAATTTTTACAAGGCCTGGAAAAAAACGACTCTTTAAAACCCTTTCTATGTATGGGTATATTTTTATTTAAAGAGCTATATAGATATTCAAAACATATCCTAGGTCTGTTTGAAAAGTTTTGATACTAATTATTTAATATTTTACGATATTTTGGGATCCAGAATTACTAAAACAGAATCAATCTAAACATTCTGTAAACGCTATAATTCATGATTTTGATTGTAGAAACCGAAAATACTTCCAGAACCCCATCATCTTAATTTTTTCCGAAAATGTTGCACAGTGTTATTTAAATATAACAATTAATAATTATTTAAATAATAAGTAATTTAAATAAAATCAACTTGGTGTCCCAAAATCACTAAACCAAACAAAAGGATTTGATTCATGGCAAAAGTCAAAATTTTCTTTAAATTTTTTTTGGAATACGCAAAATTGCAGGAGTTATCTAATTTTTAAAGCCTCCAACGAGGTTCTGTTATATTTTTAGTGTTTGCAAAAAACGCTCGCATTGGCGGCCTTAAAAATAAAATAACTCCTGTAATTTTTCGAATTCGAAAAAATGGTTAATGACATTTTGTCGCACATTTTTCCAGGACCCATTTCGTTTGGTCCGGAGATTTTGGAACACACTGTATAGTTATGCTTTTAATTAAAAATAAAGATAGTATTTGGTTAGAATATTTTTTTCAAGTTTGTCAAATTGTCATAGAAAAAGTATGGTGTTTAACTCGTTGAAATCATTTCTTTAAGATCGCTAACATTACCAAACATTACTGACTGTTATCTCGCCTAAAAAAGTGTTAGTACCTATTTTCGTCACTTGTTGCACAAAATGTGTATTACGTTTTCATAAATAAATTTTAATAAAAATTGACTGTTTAAAATTAGGGTATAGGTATAATTTTTTTTATTTACTCCTATTGCATAATATTGGGTTTTTTCTATATAATATATTATATTATAATATATAATATTGATAACCATTATAACCGCCGCGCATAACAACGTGAATAATAAACTCATTATTCACGTTGTTAGGCATCAGTGATTGGCCGAATTCAATATTCACTGTTATTTTAACCAATCAGGTTTTAAATTGAAAGAAGGCGAATATAATAATATTTAAAATTGGTAAAAAGTGAGGTTAACAATCTGACAGATGTCAGATTTAAAAATCATTTGAATGAATGATTTGCATCTCTCGTCTAGCGACTCGAGTCGCAAAACTCATCTTCCTCTCGTATTATAGTATACTATTACAAAACCAACGTTAAATTCAATTAAACCGTTTTGTTTTAGAAATCGTACATTTTTGGTTTTAATTTGTAAGTACAATAAGCCATTTTGTTCTTAAACTTAAATTTAAATCGATATTAAATCATATTCTCTTAAAAAGAATTAGTCAAAATTGACTAATTTAATAGTCACTTGTACCCATGGTTAACCATGGAATACCATGGTATACCAAAATTTAATAGTCAATTCTTATGTAAAATTGTCCCCTGACTCCGAAAATGTCGTCAAAAGTTAAAAAAGTAGAACGATTTTTGAGATATGGTCAATTTTCCATTTAATATGGAATTGACTATATCTCAAAAACTGTTCCACTTTCATAATTTTTGACAGTGTTTTCGGATTCAGGACACAATTTTATATAAGAATTGGCTGTTAAATTTTGGGATACCAAGGTTTTTCATTGGTTAACCATGGTACAAGTGAAAAATCAGCCACTAATAACTATTAAATTAGTTATTTTTGACTACCTAATTCATTTTTAGAGAGTAGATTTTTTTTAATGGATTTATACCAATATAAATTCTAAATTCCAATTGTAATAAAGGATTTACTTTAATAAAATAATTTTTATTATAATCATAATATAAAAACATAACTATTTATTTTTTACCTGATGTCTAATAAGAAAAAAATGAGTAGCACGGACAGCGCAACGCTTGTTCGCTGAAACCGTCTAGGGATAAGCATACTGCTGAAACTTCAGCGGTTTCATTTGACCAACGGGATCACAAAACATCACAAAATATCACAATCATCAAATCAATCGAATCACAAAGATAATCCCACAAGTTAACGAGTCACAAGTCACGAAAATTTCAGGTCATAAAAATCGGATTTCTAAACGTCAAATTTCGCGGCTCGGTTTCGGAAAAAGTGGCTCCTACGATGATGATTCGCGTGTCGTTTCGTGTACGAGCCGTTTGAGAGTTGGTTAGTGATGCCGGAGCCAGAGTTGATGTCTCACCTGCTTTGGTATACCTGAGAGATACGGACCAATCAGCATTTTAAATTCCCCACCCGCCTCTTATAGTTTACAAATAATATAGGTGATAATTACAACCTATACACTATTAAATGTAGTAAACCGTATCATTGTCGGTTTCGGCGCGATTAACTGGCGATTTTTCTGCTGACACGCCACTTAGATGCGTTATAGATAAATTATTAGTAAAACAATGGTTTGGATTTACCTATGTACACGATTGGGGGTTCAACAACTTAAGTATTTTATGTTGTTATTATTTTTTGTGTTTGAACATTAATAAACCGTTTAATAGTCCGTTAATTTGTTTTTAATCAATAGTGTATTAATTTAATAGGCACGTAAATCATATAAAATATGCAGGAAACTTGTATGAAACTTTAGTAAAAAATATACAAATAGGACTTTTATAATATAAAATCAATAATTAATACATTTTCAGATTAGTATAGTTATATATAGTGCTTGCAAATCCAAGTCCGACCACACAGGAAAGGACGGCTGTTCAATACCCGCGTGAAAAGAACAAGGATAGAACGCCAAATAGAATTTGATTGGCCAGCCGACAGGCTACGACAACGCATACCCATCGCGCACCTCGCAGCGTGCTTGACACGAGGATATTAGAACGAGAACTGCAGTGGTGCCAGCAAGAGCCTCTTGCCAAGAGGTAGTAATTTTAGTAAAAAAGATTATTTAATTAAAAAATGTAGGTACACGTTGGAACAAAAAGTTCAGATTTTAATCTGGCATTTTGCTGGTAATTCTGAACGAGAAATTCAAAGATTATTTGCGGGAATGTTCGAGGCCAGACCAAACAGAGAAACAATTCGACGAATCGTTAATAATTGCTTGTTCGAACATTTAATTTAATTTTTCAGTTTATTTATTTTTAGAGTTTTATTAGACCAGGGTCGATAATTTTTGAAACCAAAAAAAATAAAAGTAGGATGAAACCCATTGGAAAAGGAGAAGAATATAATAAAAATAAAAGGAAAAATAAATTACGGGCGATCTGACTTTGGGAAGTGGGAGGGGGGGTTTTAAGGGTAAAAAATGGTTTATCTCGATTTCCGGTAAAACTACAAGTCCTATGGAAAAAAGTTAAATGGCAAAGTTGTAGGTAATAAAAGGATCTACAACTTTTGTAATTACAATTTTTTTACATAACCTCCAAATTTATGGGAAAAATTCAAAAAACCAAGTTTTTGGTTTTTTATTTTTATCTTTTTAAAAAAAAAAATTTTTTCCACGAAATTTGGTGAAAACTTACCTCTTTATGTCCCAAATACACTGTAATTTATTTGATTTGAAATATTTATTATTTCGCCTTATTTTGACTTAATATCAAAAAAGCACCCTAATTTTCAATCGAAAATTCTCGCGTCAAAATATCAGCTTTTTTCAAAAAGTCGGTGTGCTTTTTGTTTGTTGAAATCTCTACTTTCTGATGGTGTAAAAAAATATACATTACTATGGTAAATGTTCTCAGAAAATGCAAAAAATATTATAATGAATAACGAAAAAAACTCGAATTCGAAAATTTATTTTAATCATTATGTACAATTTCATCAAAAAAATGTGATTTTTTTTAGTTAAAAAGTTTATTTATTAAATTCTAATAACATTTATGTCAGAAAATCTCATAAAATATAAAAATACATGTAAATCATACTATTGAATTTAGATACTTCATTCTGATTACGTTATTCATTATAATATTTTTTGTATTTTCTGAGAACATTTACCATAGTAATGTATATTTTTTTACACTATCAGAAAGTAGAGAGTTCATCGAACAAAAAGCACAACGACTTTTTGAAAAAAGCTGATATTTTCACGCGAGAATTTTCGATTGAAAATTAGGGTGCTTTTTTGATATTAAGTCAAAATAAGGCGAAATAATAAATTACAGTGTATTTGGGACATAAAAAGGTAAGTTTTCACCAAATTTCATGGAAAAAAATTTTTTTTTGAAAAAGATAAAAATAAAAAACCAAAAACTTGGTTTTTTGATTTTTTCACATAAATTTTGAGGTTATGTGAAAAAATTGTAAATACAGAAGTTGTAGATCTTTTTATTACCTACAACTTTGACATTTAACTTTTTTCCATAGGACTTGTAGTTTTGCCGGAAATCGAGATAAACCATTTTTTACCCTTAAACCCCCCCCCCTCACTTCCCGAACTCAGATCGCCCGTAATTTATTTTTCCTTTAATTTTAATTATATTCCCCTCCTTTTCCAATGGGTTTCATCCTACTGTTATTTTTTTTCTCTTTTTACCATTTTTAAAGGCTTCTGCACTGGTCTATATTTTTATTTAGAGTTTTATTTTTATTTTTAGTTATTTTTATTTGAGAAATCTTTTTTATTAAGAATACTATTTTTGTTTTTGCCCTAGTTCTCAAGGAAAAAAATCAAAACATTTTATTTTTAGGATTCGGGTATAAAATATTTAAAAAGAAAATTAAAATGTGCATCTCCACTCCAACGCAGTTTGCTTAACACTAAATCATTTAGTCTAAATGCAGCCAGAGACTCTGGCCCAGAGTTGACCTCGCTTACAATTCGCACGCATCCGGGGCTCTGGCCAATCAAATTCTATTTGGCGTTCTATCCTTGTTCTTTTCACGCGGGTATTGAACAGCCGTCCTTTCCAGTGCGGTCGGACTTGCATTTGCAAGCACTGTATATATATATATATTAGGGTGGCCCAAAAAAAAAGAATATATTTTTTTCTTATCTCTTGTGAAAATAAGTTGGTTTATCATGTTTTAAGAGCCCTGTCAAAAAATCAGCAGGATTAAAAAATTTTTAGGGGTCGCTCAAGATTTTTAAAAAATTCCAAAATCGTTAAAAATTGAATTTTTTTTTTATTTTAATTTTTTTTCTCATTCCGATATTATTTTTTAATCTAAAAATAATAAAGATTCTGAAAATTTCAAATCGATATTTTGATTTCTAAAGGTCGCTCAAGACGCTCAAGATTTTGAATATTTTCGAATCCTGAGCGACCCCTAAAAATTTTTTAATTGATCTGATATTTTGACAGGGCTCTTACAACATGATAAACTAACATATTTTCACAAGAAACGGGAAAACAAAAATATTCTTTTTTTTTTGGGCCACCCTAATATATATATATATATATATATATGTATATATATATATATGCAAAATTAAACAGTATTTTGTTATGAGAACATAGATAATATAATAAATATACTATTCCAGACCGGGCCAGTCACTTTTTCAAACAGTTTTCGAAATATTTGTGTTTTCTTAATTTGAATGCAAGGGAAGTGACGTAGTTTACCAGGGTACTAATTAAATAATAATAATAATAATTTATTGGAAAATATAAGATTTGCAACTTTGAGCATATTATACAATATCTTAAAATCAAATAATACCACACATCAGTGGCGGCTGGTGGATTTTGGTTATACCGATATCTCAATTATTATATATGGGACTCACACAGTACTGAAATTTTGACTGGAACTATACGTGTATTCACCACAACTTCGCCGCTTGCATTGTTTTCAAGATGACTGTCGTGCAAAGGACGGGCTCTGTAGGTAATTTTTACCAACACTTGAGATTAAACGAGGACTTGACGTTTAAACTTCAATATTTCGCAGGAATTTTAAATTTTAAAAGTGGGTAAAAGTGAGTACGAAGATTATCATTTTTTTTTTAAATTGATATTATTCGAATCTATGATAAAATATTCTCAAATATTTGATTCAGGAGTTGTGACACGCCAAGGTACTGATGTTTTGAATATTTATTATGATTTTCTATAAACGTGCTTTTGAAAAAATACATTAGAATTGGGTGGACAAGTTAAAAAATTCTTTTGTAATATACTAAAATATTTACAAAAAATATTAAAATACCTACTATATTGACTGATGACATCAAGTTGTCCAACTTTTGTAGAATCACCCATATATAGTTTTAAAAAGCAGATTTGTTAAAATGAGTTTGTAGTTTGTTAATTTAATTTTGTAAAATTTTAACATACTTTTTTGTATAAAACCAGGTTTTATAATTATTTTAACAAAGGAAAATATTTTACCGAAGTGTTGTAAAGCATTTTGTTAATTTTAAAGGTTAAAAATTATTTTGTTAATGTTTAACAAATTATTTCGTAGAAAAAGTACACTTGATTTATTTATTTATTTATTTTATTTTTATTTATATTTCACATAACTTTTTATAGTCAACAAAAAAGTTCTTAACTGCGACCGCTAGTCTACTCTCTAAAAATGAATTAGTCAAAATAGTTATTAGTGGCTGCTTTTTCACTTGTACCATGGTTAACCATGGAATACCATGGTATCCCAAAATTAAACAGCCAATTGTCCCCTGAATCCGAAAATACTGTCAAAAATTATGGATCGGTTTTTAAGATATAGTCAATTCCATATTAAACGGAAAATTTACTATATCTCAAAACCTGTTCTACTTTTTTAACTTTTGACATTATCAGATTCAGGGGATAATTTTACATAAGAATTGGCTGTTAAATTTTGGGATACCATGGTATTCCATGGTTAACCATAGAACCAGCCACTAATAACTATTAAATTAGTCATTTTTGACTAATTCATTTTTAGAGAGTATAACATTTGTTTCCATCCAATTACCATTCCATTCCATTCATTTTCTCACTTAAGTTTTTTTTTTTAAGTACCTTTCTTTATTTTTCTTTCATTGCCTTTTCCAAAATATTAATTTGTATTAGAATACAATAAATTTTAACTGACAACTATTTTGACAAATAAAACAAAATATTTCCCACTAACAAAACGCATCAACAAGTTCACCTGACTTAGCATCTGCAACTTATGTTTCTGCTTACTTTACTATACTATAACCCAATTTTAAAACACTATCTTTAATAAGATTGTTAATTAGGAAAAACTTTTTAATACTAATTGTTAGTACTTTTTGATAAAATAACAATTG